ACTTTTTACACCGTGGGACATGTGCTGCGATGTATTTGATCATAGATGTTAGAGATGTGCGAACTATTCGAATCGAATCGAATTCGGATTGAACTTGAATTTCTGTTTCAAATCTAAACTATTCGAACAAAAGAATTGTACATTCATTTGACCATTCTGTCACGGTGCAATGGCATTGGCCAAAAGAATGAATAACGAAGCAGTTTAAGACTTTAATTGAGATTACTTGATAAGGGCCCAAACCCGGGGCCGAAACGTTGTAACGGTTTTTTAAATAAAGACGATTGGCCAGTGTAGGTCGTAAAAACTTATGAAATTTTGGTTTCGAGTTACTGGCGATATATAATTACCACTTTGCGAAAAATTTGAATCTAGATAAATAGATGGAATCGTATATGCGTATTGTTGGTCTTATAAAATCGTATTTTCTGTTAACAAACGAAAGAATACGGTCATGGTGTAGGCACAGTGATGGACAGAATCGTTGCAACGCGTTTTTGCAACGAGTTTAGGAACGTTGCATTTACATTGAGGGAATATTTTAATCGATGGCTATTTCGAAACGGTTTCGAGCATTTTCGATCTATTTCTCGAATAAAATTTTCCCCATAGAAAATGTTTTGGGACATAAACCTGAATCCAAGTTCGCGTTCCTAAATTCATTTAAAACAGAAAGGTGTTGCGACCACTCTGTCCGTCGCTGTACATTCGGTGTGTGCGTCTACAGGGAAAGTTACCTTATAAAAGTATCTAGTTACAGTTACAATTTTTCCGCTAAAAATGTAACTAGTTACAGTTACAAGTTACCAATTCTAAAAAGTAACGCGTTACAGTTACAGTTACTCAAAAAGTAACTAATCGTTGCTTTGCAGTTACTTTCTTGCAATGAAAATAAAAATATCAAATCTGCATTTGAATTGTAAAGTGTCGACAAAGGCGTTTATACGCAAATGCAAGGCCTAATGCGATCTGTAAAGGTTTAAAAAATATATAAAGTAACTGTTAATGTTACTATTAAATTAGTTACTAGTTATCGGAAAAATGTAACTGAGTTACGTTACAGTTACAGATGGAGCGAAAGTAACGAAGTTAAGTTAGAGTAAGCAACAACGTAACTGTAACTGTAACTTCGTTACAAGTAACGAGTTACTTTCCAACCCTGTGCATTTAGCACAACCGCTTACGATAAGCGATAAAGTAGCCACAGTGTAATTGATTCTTTGATCCAAACCAAAGAGTACTGATATAAAATCAATCTACGTGTTAAAATTTAATTAATCTAATAATAACTATATTGTGTTAATTAACTCTTTCAGGACGGGGGCTTTTCCGAAGCAAAAGGTTTGGTCCCTGTAGGGACCAGCCCGTCCTGAACAGGTTAAAAATTGATTTCAGATTCTGTCGACTCGGTTCGATTCGGAAAGGAAAGGGAAATTCGATTCGACCTAAAAAAAAAACAATTCGCCGATTCGCACATCTCCGGCAGATATTAAGACGTAATTGAGTATCGGTGTCCAGGAATCCGATAAGAATCGTACGCAATCGAGGCTGCTAGATATAATAGACAGATACCAGTTTGATGCGATAAAACCGAGCGATAGCACGTTATTTTCGTCGGCCTCGTAACTCAGCCGGCGCGGAGTGTCGCGAAAAGGCCGTCCAACGCGACAGAAGGAATCTTAATCGCGCCCCGTGCACAGGACCACCGACAATATTCTCTCCTCCTTTATATTTTCTCACGATGCAACGATCTTTACACGGCACGGCAACGCCGCGCCGTTACTTGCACCTCGATAGCAGAATTTTATTTCCAATCCCCGCGCGCGCACCACGCATACACGCGCACACACGCCGCAGCTGGCCACGAAAGTCAAAGTGCCTCGTAACAGGATTATGAAATGTTCCGGAGTAGCGTTCCACGGATGTTTACAGCCCGCGAATACTCGTTACCTTTTATTGCCGGCAAGTTTCAGCGATTTCTGGCATTGGCTCCGTTAACGAGCGACATTTTATACTTTCATTGGGCCGTAATTCTCCCTCTTTCCGCGTAGGGCGATGCATACGACTCGTAATTCGGCTATTGTGTTTCCGGATGCGCCGGGATGAGGAAAATTCACGGAAAATCGAGTTCGCGGCACCGGTCTTTCGAATCCGCGCAAATCTGGACTCCGCTCGATCGGCGGAACCGTTTCCAACAAGTCACCACAGATTCTACCTTTGCTGATCAGTGCCTCCTTATTTTTCTAAATATTTCAAATTTTATTTACAACTTTTGCGAGTAATACACCTGTTATACCTCGCGAACTCCTGCTCCATAAATTTGTCATATAAAAAAAAATATATATACATATCTCACCATTTTTAGCCATCTGCATATATTTGAAATTAAATTTTATCTCGCGAAAGTCCTATTCGTAGATACTATTTTTTATCGTATTATAAAAACCCACCTTTTACAAAAAGATACAAGAAAGGCGCCTAGCACATGCGTCTTTTATGACTTTACGAATTCAACGCGTCATTACATTAAACAACACACTTCATCGATTTACTTTCTCGTATCTTTCTGTAAAATCTAACAAGTGAATACGCGAAACGTTTATACGATTAGCGTCAAGAATTAGGAAATATTATTTCCCGAGCGGACGAAGAGCTTTGCTTTCCAACGCGGTTATAGCCATCGCCGCGGGCACGTTTCGGCACGACGTTGTGTAAATGCGGACGGGCCAGTCCGCATCGTCTGTGTATTCGGGAAAGATGTTTATTATCAGTAAACCGAACTCTTTGCCGTATCCCCCTTCTCAGCTTGTTCTCCACCCTCCGTTAGGTTGACTTAGACTTTCATATCAGTTGCCGCGTAGCCGCGCACGGCCTCGTATATTTTACTCGCGCGATACACTCCTCCGTTTGTAATGCCGATCAACGGTATTTGGCTCGTACAATCGGCCCTCCGACGTGCAAATACCAATTGCATTTCTCGCAAGCGAATCGAACGATGACGATGATCAATGATCGCGCAACGTGCGCACATCCGTAATCGGAACGATTCGCGTGCGGATTTTTCTCACGATATCAAAGTGCTCGAAGCGATAACGAGCGGCTTGTGCCAATTTACGCGGGCATTTATCAATTAGCAATAACGTGAAAAAGAAAACGTCAACAATTCATTACGGTAAATGAAAGCTAATTCACATATGTCCATATCATTGATTTACGCGCAATATAATATAATTGTCGAAAATCACGCTGTTTAAACATCAGTTTTGAAGTCTTCGTGAAGATCTCACAAGACGCGAGAAGGAATTGTGAAACTACGTCAAAGTTAGCCACGAGTACTAATGATAGAAAAAGAAACGGCAAGAGCGGAGTGAGCGAAAAGGGAGGAACTGCAGAAGAAGAAGAAGAAGAGAAATTCTATGGCACTCCAAGTATCCGTCAAGGTCATTCTCGCAAGCCTCCCACGCCTCGCGCGTTACGGAGTATCGATGAATCCCTTGGGGGTAGAAAACCATTGAGAATTTCACAATGAGCCTCATGTGTAGTATAATGTTGGGAGGCCTTACACAGCGGAGGATCTAAACCGAGCCAAAAGGGAGAAGGAGGGAGAGCCCGATAAGCGGAAAGAAAGCGACGCACTCCGATGAAGAGAAGAACGGAGTAACGAGGTAAGACGGCACGACGAAGAAGAAGTGTAGTCCAATCGGCGATGGGGGGGGGGGGGTAGACGAGAAACGTCGAAGAGAGAAAGATAGTCGAAGAAGAAGAGACGGGCGGATGGTGAATAACGAAGAAATAGCACGCGAAAAAGTGGCGAGAGAGAGAGAGAGAGAGAAAGAGAAGAGTGGAAAAGAACGAGAGACTGATCGTGCCTAGCTGAAGAAGAAGAAGAAAGTTGGAAGATTATCCTCTTTCTCGCATTCTCTATCTTTTTTCTCTCCTCCTTTCTCGCACTCTCTCTCTTTCTCTCTCTCTTTCTTTCTCCCTCCCGTCATGTGCACCTGTCTTCGTTTACCTGGTGAACGCCCCGCCCCGGCCAATAGAGGTACAGCGGGCCTCGTGACGTCAGTGACACGTACCGGGAGGCCCTAGGTGGAGGGGGCGAGATCATCCACCACCACCTCTTTGGAGGCCACGAAAGCCTCACGGGGACCAGCAGCTAGCAGCAGCCAGCGGCCGTGGTCTCGTCGGCCGTTTGCCGCGGGGTGGGGGCAGGAAGAGGGGTACTCTCCTGGACCTGGTCAGGCCAAAGAAACAACGCAGGAGTACCCACCGAAACCCATCCTGCATTTCCCACCACCGGCTCGTCCGGAAAACGCGCGCTAGCTTCCGGACGTCGTCCGTCCGAGTTCAGTCAAGTGAGTCGACTCGCACGTACCTCCTCTCCAACGAAAACGATCGCAGAAGGTTCCGCTCCGGAAAGGCGGGAGTGTTGGCGCGTGCCGACGAGAATTTAAAGGGCCCGGTACTGGTAGAGAGAACGTCGATCAGTCGAGGAGACCCGACTTGGAATAAACCTCCGATCGAGTCGACGTCTACGATGTAGAGAGATTCGCCCTCCTAGACCTTTCGATTTGGTGCCACGACTTGATAATATGCCGGTATGGTGATCGTATATCGGCTCCGTTCGGTATCCGCAAAAGAGAGAAAAAAGGGATCTTTTTCTGATCCCTCGGAAAGTTGTAGTCTCGCGTCAATTCGCCGATCGGTCGATCGCTCGTGTTTCTATCAGGTTTTTCCCAGTGGACTGTCATCGGCTTTGGTAGGTCGCGCGCGAAGTTTATCAACACAATTACAGAGATCACATCGGTGGTAAGTGTGTGTACGGAGGGGGTGTGTGATGCCCTGGTTATGGTTAAGCGTGAGTGAGGTCAGTGGCGAGAGGCGGAGAAGAAAAATCGGTAGCAAAACGTCAAGCGGATTGTCACCCTCAACATCGTCGTCGCCGCCGCCGCCGCCGCCGCCGCCGCCGCCGTCGTCGTCGTCGTCGTCGTCGTCGTCGTCGTCGTCGTCGTCGTCGTCGTCGTCGTCGTCGTCGTCGTCGTCGTCGTCGACGTCGTTGTCATCGTCGTTCTACCAGCCGTTCTGGAGACGACGAGAGCAGTGACCGCGCAAGGTCGACCTCGAGGCAGAGGCACGCGATTATGGTGCACCATCATCATCGTCGCCGCGGCCTCCAGGCAGCCCACCACTGTGCCATTGGGAGTCGCGCGGGCACACGCATCTCGCTCTTCCAGGTTTTCCTGCTGATCCTTAGCCTCTGGCTGCCCGTACTCGATAACGGTGGCCTTGCTCTGGCGTGCGGACCCGGCAGAGGCGCCGGCCGACGGCCGAATCAGAGGAGGCTCACCCCTCTGGTCTACAAACAGCATGTGCCAAATGTCAGCGAGAACACCTTACCGGCAAGCGGGCTCGGCGAGGGACGGGTGTCTAGATATGACCCCAGGTTTCGAGACCTGGTACCCAATTACAACACGGACATCATTTTTAAGGACGAGGAAGGCACCGGCGCCGATCGTCTCATGACACAGGTGAACGCGTGTGCTCTTCTCCTCAGAGATAAGCAGAGGTGCGAATAAATCAAGACTTAAGTAGTCGGTTTCCGATAAAAATCACAGATACGAACAATTCTTCATGTTTCATTCCCGCAAATCATGTAGAAATTATTCTTCCCGATTGTATACAAAATTATATAAAACTATAACAATTTTTAGTGATTTGCATGAGATAAATCGGGAATGAAAGTAAAGAGAAAAGTAAGTCATAATTAAAATAAATATATCGTCTTCGTTTACTCGCACCTTTAACTTACTTTCTAATACGCGAAAGGTATCGGTTTTTTTAAGGAAATATTTATTTAAAAATTTCGATATTTATAAGCATCGTAACTGCAAATGAAACTGAACTACCATCGGGGAAATTTGCAGCGATAATTCTATTAATAACACGTTCTTATAACGAAACCGTGTTTTGACCTGCGCTTCTTCGAGCGGTGTAATTCGATTCTGAAGCTACGTCATTTGTTGTAAGGGGATATTTTTAAATTGTGGCGGCTGTGATGTCGCCGGTGATAAAACTAGCAGCTCTGCTGTTCAACTTGTGATAAAGATGGTCGTCCTTGAAGCAGTCGACGCGCCGGTGAATCATCCTACGAAACGACACCGTATTTACGGGGGATATCACACGTCCAATCGATCGGTCGATCACGGCCGCGTTCGGTCTCATATTAATTAAAGCGACAATCGGACGTGACGTTATCGAGATCGTCGGGTTTCTCGCTTCCTCGTCGGTTTGCCTGGGTGCAACATGATGAGGCACGATAACTAGAAATTCCAGAAAAAATGCAGCCGGAGATCACTTACGTCGCTGATAGCAGCGCTTGCACAAACTTTCCCAAGAGTCCGCATCGTTTTCGGAAGAAGGTAGAATATCGGTTGTTGTCACATGTAATTTAACACCTTAAAGGCGCGCGTGTAGCCTCGATAATCTCGTAAATAGTCCGTATAACAGTAAATACGTTTACGAAGTGTCCCGGTAATTTCCAATATCGACTGTCTCTTCCATAAACGGTGGGCGCAGTAACGCGTGTCATTACTTTAATGCGTGTCACCGTACTCTGGTCCGTATGACAAACTGGCTACTGCACGTCGTTAAAATGTCGACAAGTGATTCACGCGAAATGCTAGCCGGCGTGATAAGCGACTCGATCATATTCGATCACATACTCGTTTCATGCGGATAAGATCGATAGTTTGTGTACGATACACTAATACGTCGCACGATTCCTCCTCGCCGTCAATTCCGAAGTCATATTTCCCCGCAGTCGTCTAGACTCGTTTTCCTAAGGAATTTATATAACAGGGACGAAATGGAATGACATCCGATTAATGACGATTAGTTAGGTGATCTTTGCGAACGATCTTTCTCATGTAAATTCGACACTTGAGACTTAAAAATCATCCGCGATGCTGTGGGAACCGAACGCGAGGAAGGGACGTCCGATCGCTTGCCCGTCATCACCTTTAAGAAGCGAAGACTATTCGAGGTTTATTTCTCTTCCATGGAGGCTCCATTAGTGCTTTATTCATGCATTTTTTATCGGTGTTTGCCTTCCACTTGGCGCCCCCGCGAAGCGTGAAACGATTCTCCTAACTCCCGCTCCGTTGTATTCCAATTTGTAAGTCGACATCGCCGCGTCACACAAAAGGCAGCCTCGGCGCCGCGGACAGTGGTGCTTAAGCGGACAAAACCTGAATTCTTAAAAGCTTATCCAGAAAATGTCCGAATACCGATATAATCTTAATATATACACACCGATATAATCTTAAACTGTTGGCTAATGAGGGAAATCACGATGAGGATGCGGCAGATCACAGGCTTTCTAGAAAGCAATTGTCAAGTGCAACAAAACCATTTCGATCGAGCAATATTAGTAATCTTTCGAGGCACTTTTGAAATATTCTTAACACGCGTAATTCCATTTTATTGGTACGTTTCTGTGTTTCTAGTAATACTCGTAATCCAATATGTCCGATTCGTGTAAAGCAATGAATGAAGTAAAGTTACATAAAGTAAAAAAAACATCCTCTCTAGAACGGAGATGATAAACAAGAACATATCGAGTAAAACATTTCGAATCCGAGTGATTTTCAGGTATATCATAAATGCAATTTATCCGTTAATCCTCGCGTTTCACACAGTGCAACATAAAGAAAAGGAAATGATAAAGGATATATACACGGAGAATTTTTTTTTAAATTTATCCTGAAAATCATGTAATCGTGGGCATTTGAAAGAATTGTATGAGAGTTTTTTAAAACTTTGCCATACATTTTACTAGCAGAATGTAGAGTAAAATTTTAAAAAACTCTTATACATGCAGTTCTTTAAAATGCCATGCTGTCCCACGATCACATGATTTTCAGGGTAAATTTTAAGAGAAAATTCTCTCCGTGTACAAGTAGATATTGATTCGAAAGTTTAGTACTAATACTTAATGAAACGTTTCTAATATCAGTATATTTGATCGAAAATAATTGAAACCATCGCGAGAACATGAAATTTCCAAAACCTCATAGTCCTTCAAATGCCATGCTGTCCCGCAATCATATGATTTTCAGGGTAAATTTTAAGAGAAAATTCTCTCCGTGTACAAGTAGATAGTGATTCGAATGTTTAGTACTTAATAAAACATTCCTAATATCAGTATATTTGATTTAAATAAAATAATTGAAACCATCGCGAGCACACGAAATTTCTCTCGGGCTGAATCAGAGATTGCGTACAAACTTGCGTCAACAAGTTTGGACGGCGCTCTATGTCGAATCGAGATTTAGTGAGAAATACATTTCACCTTTTGTCAAAGGAAAAGAGCTCATTATGTTCGTATTGGTCGTAAATGTTCGTTTGTGTTCTTTACCAGCCCTGGGTTCTGGGTCCATTTTTAGGCACCGCTTCGCGCCGCGCAGCACCGGACCGGTTGTTGCTCTGTGTAAACTAACAGCCGAGGTGGAAATACGAAGAGTAGACACTTTCCTGGCCTCGTATTTACCCGAATTTCGCAAAGAAGCGCCGCCTTTACCGGCACGCCGCTGAAAGAACACAAGGACCCGACATCAAATCTATCAACGTCGCGGTATTTTCACTCGTTCAAACATTACCACAAAATAAATGCTACCACTGCCGTCACTTATTTCCCTTTTCTGACAGACGATACACGCTGTGCTTTTGAAGCACACTACAGGTTACAATAATCTCGAGACGGTGATCTCTTTCCGAAAAGCCGCTCTATTGTGCCAATATTTCTTAAAAGCTGACAATCGGTTTTCGAAGTTAATGGGAATTGACCGAAGATTCGGTCTTTAGGCACTCGAAAGTGAACGTCTCGTAGAAAAACTGTTGGATATAAGATATTGGGCCAATGGGACGATCTATTCTTTCATAAAAAGGTCCACGGATATTGCTACAGCGAAAAAAACTTTTGCTACCGTAGATAATCACGGTTTGCTAAGAATATTTTGCTGCCATAACTATAAATTTCTAAAGCACGGCAAACGGCTTGCTGTCGCACCTAATACAATAGGCACAGTAACAAAAATGTTGCTGTCACAACTAAATATTAGCTGTCCGTATTTTACAACTTTAGTTGCCACGTGCAGTTTTTAACTACGGCAGCTACATTTTTCTGTCCGTGTAACAATTTCTAGTTGGCGTAAAATACTTTATTTTTCAAATTCTATCGCAAACGAGCGACACATTTTTTTTTACGAGAAAGATTGACGAGTTTTACGTAGCCAGTGCAACGTAAAACGCCATACTTATCCAACATCTCGTCTGACAATGTTTAATCCGATGCGTTTTCGACTTGTCCGGGCATCGATGTCTCTCAAACCGAGCCGCGATCCATCGTTAGCTCACGCATGCACGTTAACGTCATATTTCGTGTATGCGCATCACGAAATACACGCTTTTCCGCAACAAACGTAAAAAGATGATGGGAGAGACGATGGATTCTCGACGCTTTTTGTTTGTTCGTAAAGAATGACGGTCACACGTTAAAACGCTTAGAGCATCAATGAAATAAGATATTTGCTTTCGCAAAGCGTAGCGCGGTTGTTCGCTACGATGATTAATGGCCACGTGTAATCGGAGTTTTTCCTGCTTCTTTACCACCTCGGCTAAATTAACTTTTAGCATTCGTACAAGCTAGCAAGATTGTTGAGATTTCTGTAAAATTTACTATAAATTTATAATGGTATTTTCCGCCAACGACAAGAGTGCATCGATTAAAACTATATAAAAAAACTATATTGCTCCAATCTTCCTCGAAAATGTTATATACGTCGCATAATCGCACTAATCGCGATCGATTAATTAACGAAAAAAAGACTAGTAAATTTTTATCCTGCGTCTCTAACACTAGGTGGCCGCGGTATCTTCGTTTGCGGAAATAATCGACGTATTTGTTGCAAGCAGAAAGCCCGTACATCCTTAAGGCCTGTGTCCACGATGCTGAGAACTTGGTCCAGGTTCTAGTTCCAGAAAACGTGTAGCCAGTCAACTTGCAGCCTTTACGGAATAGCTGCGAGTTGACTGGCTACACGTTTCTCGAAACTAGAACTTGGACCAAGTTCTAGCATCGTGTACGCAGGCCTTTAAAGTAGTCGAGTCATTACTCGAGGAAGAATTTAACAAATTCGGCTCATATTCGGAAGACCTCGAGTCAACGTCGTTTTAAGAGCGCAGGGCGATCGAAAATCGCGCTGAGCGACAGTAAAAGGTGCGCGCGAGAAGCCGAGGGTAGCCGGTCTGGTGCCGGGGAATAACAAATCGCCTGTAACTCGTCCTCCGGTTCGTCCGTCCGCCTCGTTCTGTTCATCCTCGTGATCGCGCGCGGCGCGACGCCGCGCGGCCGGCTAGCAGTGCCGGTCGCGCGGAATAAATAGGGAGAAAAAGCGCGTACCGCGCGCCGGCTCTAAGTGATTGTGGGTAGTTTTATGGCGGCCATAACCGGTGTTTGGTTTAGCGCGTT